CAGGCCTCAACACAAATCTGATGCACCTATTTTCAGAACCCAAGTGAGGCTTAAGTGGCACATAGTCCTTGCACTGACTCTCTGCATAGGAGGTGAATTTTACTCTAAAGGCACTTTTATGGGAAAGGATTTGATCATCAGGAGCAGACTAATTTGATAACGGCATCTGGTGATGGAAAGGGCACATTTAAACCAAATGTCATGTTAAAAAATGCAGGACTATCAAAATGATGCTGTAAAAAATCAATATGGTTTTTTGGTTATCTTTGCGCATTAAAATATATTTTAAATAGATTAATGTTCTGATATAGTAACATTATACTAACCATTATATACAATAGCTAACCAAAAGTCAGTTATTTGATCAAAGAGGAATATTGTATTAGAATTGCACAAATGTAATCTTTTATATACAGATTTTTTTTCCCTACCAGGTAAATAAATTAGCTTATTTGTTTTATTAAAAAAAACTACCAGGTATCAGAGTGCTTGGAGCAAGAAATAAATTAGCTTATTTGTTTTATTAAAAAAAACTATGCTTACTAAAATGTAGACTTAAGCAATACAAGAATATGTAATATCACTATGTACAATATGGATGTATGATTCAGAAATAAAAAGCTGTGATCCAGCATTAAAAGTGCCTTGTTTCAGCACTGCTCCAAGTTTTTTTGTAGTTTCCAATGTTACAAATTAATCTGATAGCTCTGACGCTTTCCCTCCAGCATTCACTATAGTCCATGAAAGCACTAGTGAGCTGACTCATATTATTGTAAGTCATTACAAATAGTTTACCTCTCCCCACTTCCTTTTCTTCCTCTATTCACCTCATTTTTCCCACCAATCATTTGCAAAATATTCAAGTTTGGGTTAACTAAAATTTCAGGTGCTCAGCCCACTCTCTTCCCAGGTGCATCTAGATCATTGTTGCACGGAAACCGATAACATTTATTCTCACGATTTGGCCTGGAAAGAAAACAGGCATCTCTCTGCTAAAGTCTTCATTTGCTATTGCCCCAGGAGACAGACAGGGGAGCACAGAAGGTAAAGAAATTGTCAACGAAGGCCCCCTTTTATCTAAAATACTAAATACTAAAATGTAACCAAAATATAGCAGCCCTTGGGGAATACAGTTATGCTTTAGGGTTTCCTTTGTTTTTGATGGTCCCGCTGTAGAATCTTAATTCCTACTAATATATAAATACTTTGTTTTCAATTAATTATTATTGAGATGTTCTAATTATTGACCAGCTATATACTAAGTGTTGTAGAGAGAACCCAGAAATAGTTTCCAAAGTAACACACTCTACAAATACTTCAAAATGTATAATGAGTGTTTATAATTGATAGCACGTGTGTATTGGTAGTTATAAAGGTATCAGAATGCTATTCTTTTTCTTTTCTTCTTCTCAACATCTAATATTTGACTCTCTCATAATTTTGCTAGTGTCAGGCCACTCACTGATGGATTTTGGGTCGCTGGACACTAGTGCAGTGATAATAATGGAGAACCAGAAGATGCCAGAGAGAGGAAGAGCAGAATCCTGATTATCAGGTTAATTAGCAGGAGATTTGATCAGAGTAGAACGGGTAGAAAACTATTAATTTTTATTAAGTCAGGCTATGCAGACATTTTGGCTGTGTCTAGACTGTGTCTAGACTGGCAAGTTTTTCCGCAAAAGCACTTGCTTTTGCGGAAAAACTTGCCAGCTGTCTACACTGGCTGCTTGAATTTCCGCAAGAACACTGACAATCTCATGTAAGAAATCAGTGCTTCTTGCAGAAATACTATGCTGCTCCCATTCGGGCAAAAGTCCTTTTGCACAAAAGCTTTTGCGCAAAAGGGCCAGTGTAGACAGCTCAGATTTGTTTTGCGCAAAAAAGCCCCGATCACGAAAATGGCGATCGGGGCTTTTTTGCGCAAAAGTGCATCTAGATTGGCACGGACGCTTTTCTGCAAAAAGTACTTTTGCAGAAAAGTGTCCGTGCCAATCTAGACGCTCTTTTCCGCAAATGCTTTTAACAGAAAACTTCTCCGTTAAAAGCATTTGCGGAAAATCATGCCAGTCTAGACGTAGCCTCAGTGTGCTGCTCAAACAGCTCAGATATTTGGGATTTTTCCCCCCTCTAAAACCTGAGGTGAATCTATTGTGAAATTTGTTACATTTGTTAAAATGTGAACACCATCTATTCTCGTTCCTTCAGAAGTTGAAAAAGCATGTTTTCCTTCACCACAATCTTTTCTTCGAAAGGATGCTTCTTGTGAATTCAATGTCCCATTCAATGTCAGAAAATAAAACCTGGTTGTTGAAAACTAGATATATCATGAGTACAGTGGATTTAACATTGCCATACTCTCTCCCTGACTGCATTCATTTTCTGCTCTCATGCCATTTATATTCCAGTTTTTTCATTCTTTGATGCAGTGACAGAAAACATTGAGCGGTGAATTTATTTCTGTGATGGACAAAGACTCTGACCTATGCTACACCTTCTAAGTTAGGAGCTAAGCAAGCTTAGGCTACGTCTACACTGGCAGCTTCTTGCGCAAGAAAAGCCGTTCTTCCGCAAAAACTTGCCGGCTGTCTACACTGCACGAGCATTCTTCCAAAGTAAATTTACAGTACAACGTTGTAAAACAGGGCTTCTTCCAGAAGAGTTATTCCTTTCCCCATGGCTGTCTAGACTGCAAGCCTCTTTCGAAAGAGGCTCTTTCAAAAGAGCGCGTCTAGACTGCACGCGGAATTTCGAAAAAGCAAGCCGCTTTTTCGAAAGAAAGCACCCAGTGAGTCTGGATGCTCTCTTTCTAAAAAGCCTGTTTGCTGTCAAGAACACCTTCTTTCAAAAGAGCACTTTCGAAAGAAGGCTTTCTTCCTCGTGGAATTAGGTTTACCACCGTCGAAAGAAAAGCCGCATTCTTTCGATTTAATTTCGAAAGAACGCGGCTGCAGTCTAGACGCAGGTGAAGTTTTTTCGAAAAAAGGCTACTTTTTTCGAAAAAACCCCTGAGTCTGGACACAGCCCATGAGGAATAAGTCCTCTTGTGCAAGAGCTCTTCCAGAAGAGGCCAGTGTAGACAGGCAACATGAATTTCTTGCGCAAGAAGCCCCTATGGTTAAAATGGTCATCAGAGCTTTCTTGCGCAAGAGAGCATCTACACTGCCATGGATGCTCTTGCGCAAAAGCACATGGCAATGTAGACGCTCTCTTGCACAAAATAGTTCTTGCGCAAGAAGCCAATAGTGTAGTCTTAGCCTTTGCGAGTGGGAGGGGCATTAAGCATGAGTTTAGGTTCATTTTAAGTGTTAAGAAGACTGCTCTCAGTTTTCATTAAAAATAAAAATAAGTTTCCAACCCTCTTCATTGTGGAGATAGCTTCAGAATTGACAGGTCTTGTCATTTTATTGATAGTTTTTGTCCTAAAGCCCCAGCTAGTGGCATCATAGGATTAGATCATCTTTAGCACCTCAGCTTTTTTATTATTTTTTAAGATAAAGTTACTCAAGCTCTCATGTCACATAGTAAAGCTCAACACAAACTCTAAATGCTCAAAAAAAATCCCCTCAACTAAGCCAAAAACATGACACACCTACATGTTTGTTGGGGGGGGGGGGGGGAGTGCTACTCAGGATATTTGAATGTCTAAATTTGCAATACTGCAACTTTGAAAATACAAACTGATTAGTGAGTGCAGAAGGTTTGTGAGAGGGCTGATCTTTCAAATCTACAAAATGCATGGGCTACTGTTTTAAATTCTAAGTCCAGCTTAGTTGGTAACTGAGAGCAATGTTTCCCAGGCTGCTACTGATGACATTGCAAACTCTGTCCCTGACAACGGTCTATAATTGTACAGCCAACATGGCTTCTTGGTAGCAGAAGAGGAAACCTAGTGGAAGAGGCCAGGGCTCAGAGCATGAGGGGGGGTCCTTCATTCTAATCTTGGCTCATCCTCGGGCCCTAATTAAGTCCCATACCTTTGTTTTTCCCAGCTGCAAAATGCATATTACTATTCCCTAATTTTTTTTTTTAGTCACATACTCACTGAGTGACTGACAATTACCTACCTAACATTTAGGAAGCAATAAGGACTTAAATCCAGTAGCATGCATCTAAAAGCCTCCACTGATTAGGGGCCTAACAAGCTTATTTGGGAAACTGTCTCATGATGTGAGAAGCCTCCACAGCTAACTTTATTTACACCTAACTTTATTTATCTCTTTCACTCTCATGGAACAGAAGTAGATAAACTACAAGAGTGCTCCAGTAGCCTCCATACTACCACTACCTTTTCCCTAGCAACTCCTTATTTTCCCAATACCTAATTCCTAGTAACCCTCCCTTCTGTAGAGATGCCCTTTTATATGATTTTTTTCCCAGCATGCCTGTCTGTGGGCTGGCTGTTTAAATTGAGCAAAGACAAACAGCTGCAGCCCTAAAGCAGCTGTTTTGAAATAGGCTGCTATTGCTTTATCTTTCCAATGA